CACTTATCTTCTTAGATAACAAAAGATATATTGACTTTACTTCACAGCATTTCAATATTGTTAACCTTACAGCATACTATTTAAGTTATGAAATATCAAGGAGAAGCACAAACATCACCCAAGAACCTTACATCCTCTTCTGGGAAAGCGATTAGTGTGTTTTTCATTATATACAAGACAGTTTTGTCACATTAGGTGGACAGTTGTATCATGGTTGAAAAAGATGTGTATAGTCTGGGCACAGTGGCTCATGCCTGTAATTCTAGCACTTTGGGAGGCTGAGACAGGCGAATCACCTGAGGTCAGGAGTTCAAGACCAGCCTGGCCAACATAGTGAAACCCCGTTTCTACTAAAAATGAAAAATTATCTGGGCTGGGTGGTGGGCACCTATAGTTCCAGCTACTCAGGAGGCTGAAGCAGGAGAATTGCTTCAACCTGGGAGGTGCAGTTTGCAGTGAGCTGAGATTACACCAGTACACTCCAGCCTGGGCAACAGAGCAAGACTATGTCTCAAAAAACAAACTAAATAAATAAATAAGAATAAAAAGATGTGTATGGATACTGTTGACAGAGGGTGAACTTGCAATGGCTAATTTTTTTATTTTTTGAGATGGAGTTTTGCTCTTGTTCCTCCAGGCTGGAGTGCAGTGGTGCGATCTTGGCTTACTGCAAGGTTTCAAGTGATTCTCCTGCCTCAGCCTCGTAAAAAGCTGGGATTCCAGGTGCCCAAAACCATGCCTGGCTAATTTTTGTATTTTTAGGAAAGACAAGTTTTCACCATGTTGGCCAGCCTGGGCTCGAACTCCTGACCTTAGGTGATCGGCCTGCCTTGGCCTCCCAAAGTGCTGGGATTACAGGCTTGAGCCACTGCACCCAGTCTAAATTGGACTTTGAGTAAGGCAGATTGTCTTTATAATGTGGAGTATTGGAGGCCTCATGCAAGCAGTTGAAAACTCAGATATGGCAAAAGGACTGACCTGCCCTGAGCAAGAAAGAATTTTGCCAGCAGACAACCTTCTGACTTAAACTGCAACACTGATTCTTCTTTCTCTGGGCATCTAGTCTGCCAGTCCACACTGCAGATTTTGGTCTCCATGATCCTATAAGCCAATTTTGTTTTTCCTTTCTGTTTTTTTTTTTTTTTTTAGATGGAATCTCGCTGTGTTGCCAGGCTGGAATGCAGTGGCGGGATCTCAGCTCACTGCAACTTCTGCCTCCCAGGTTCAAGCAATTCTCCTGCCTCAGCCTCCTGAGTGGCTGGGATTACAGGCACATGCCACCATGCCTGGCTAATTTTTTGTATTTTTAGTAGAGACAGGGTTTCACCGTGTTAGCCAGAACGGTCTCTATCTCCTGACCTGGTGATCCACCTGCCTTGGCCTCCCAAAGTGCTGGGATTATAGGCGTGAGCCACTGCGTTGGTCATTTTTTTTTGTATCTTTTGTAGAGATGGGGTTTTGCTATGTTGGCCAGGCTGGTCTTGAACTCCTGGCCTTAAGTGACCTGCCTGCCTTTGCCTCCTATAGTGCCGATTACAGGCGTGAGCCACCACTCCCAGGTTAATAAATTTCTCTAGATATATATACACGTGCTATTCTCCTGGTTCTCTTTCTCCAGAGAATCCTAATATATTTGCTGTTTTGAAAAAAAAATTGAAATATTTCAAACATATAAAATGTTACTAAGAGGCTGGGCGCAGTGGCTCAGGCTTATAATCCCAATACTTTGGGAGGCTGAGGCAGGTGGATCACGAGGTCAGGAGTTGAAGACCAGCCTGGCCAAGATGGTGAAACACCATCTCTACTAAAAATACAAAAATTAGCCAGGACTGGTGGCCCACGCCTGTAATCCCAGCTACTCGGGAGGCTGAGTCAGGAGAATCGCTTGAACCCGGGAGACGGAAGTTGCAGTGAGCAGAGATATCACCACTGCACTTCAGCCTGGGTGACAGAGTGAGACTCCATCTTAAAAAAAAAAAGTTACTAAAAATAATGTGAATAAACAGCAATGTTTCCACACCCAAATTTAACAACCACTGATGTTAAGCTATATTTGTTTGAGAATTGCTCTGTCTGTCACCCAGGCTGGAGTGCAGTGGCCCAATCGTACCTCACTTCAGCCTCCACCTCCCAGGCTCAAGTGATCCTCACCTCAGTCTCCTGAGTAGCTGAGCATACAGGTACATGCCACCACACTCAGCTAATTAAAAAACTTTTTTTTTAAATTTTATAGAGACGAGAGTGTTGCTATGTTGCCCAGGCTGGTCTTGAACTCCTTGGCTCAAGCAATCCTCCCCTGTCAGCCTCTCGAAGTGCTGAGATTACAGGTATGAGTCAAAGAGAATTCACAGGCAATTCACCTGGAGAATTGCTTTTCTTTTTCTTCTTTTTTTTCTTTTTTTTTTTTTTTTGAGATGAAGTCTTGCTCTGTTGCCCAGGCTGGGGAGCAGTGGCTCGGTCTTGGCTTACTACAACATCTGCCTGCTGAGTTCAAGAGATTTTCCTGCCTCAGCCTCCTGAGTAGCTGATATTACAGGCACATGCCACCATGCTCAGCTAGTTTTTTTTTTTTTTTTTTTTTTTTGAGACAGTCTCCCTCTGTCACCAGGCACCAGGCTGGAGTGCAGTGGCACGATCTCGGCTCACTGCAACCTCCGCCTCCCGGCTTCAAGCAATTCTCCTGCCCCAGCCTCCCAAGTAGCTGGGGCTACAGGTGCATGCCACCATGCCCAGCTAATTTTTTGTATTTTTAGTAGAGATGGGGTTTCACTATGTTGGCCAGGATGGTCTCCATCTCTTGACCTTGTGATCCTCCCAACTCAGCCTCCCAAAGTGCTGGGATTACAGGCATCAGCCACCGTGCCTGGCTTTAATTTTTGTATTTTTAGTAGAGACATTTTTTTCACCATGTTGGTCAGGCTGGTCTCGAACTCCTGACCTCGTGCTCTGCCCTCTTGGCCTATGAAAGTGCTGGGATTGCAGGCGTGAGCCACTGCACCCGGCCTAAGAATTGCTTTTCTTAAAGAAATAATGGGCTGGATGCAGTGGCTCACACCTGTATTCCCAGCACTTTGGGAGGCTGAGGCGGATGGATCACCTGAGGACAGGAGTTTGAGACCAACATGGCCAACATGGTGAAGCCCAGGGCACAATGGCAGGTGCCTGTAATCCCAGCTACTTGGGAGGCTAAGGCAGGAGAATCACTTGAACCTGGGAGGCAGAGGTTGCAATGAGCCAAGATCATGCCACTGCACTCCAGCCACGACAAGATCTAAACTCCATCTCAAAAATAATAAAGTTTACAAATATAGCTACATTCCAATGATAACCCTTTCTGATCCCACTCTCCTCTCTCTCTCGAAATGTAATTACATTCTTAAACAGGTGTCATTCTATTCTTATTTTTACTAGAAATGTATGTATCTGTAAATAACATACTTTTTTTTTTTTTTTTTTTTTTTTTGGGACTGAGTCTCTCTCTGTTGCCCAGGCTTAAGTGCAGTGCTGTGATCTCGGCTCACTGCAACCTCCACTTCCTGGGTTCAAGCAATTCTCCTGCCTCAGCCTCCCGAGTAGCCGAAACTACAGGCACATGCCTGCCACACCCGGCTAATTTTTTGTATTTTTGTAGAGATGGGGATTCACTGTGGCTGGTCTCAAACTCCTGAGCTCAGGCAATCCGTCCACCTCAGCCTCTGAAAATGCTGGGATTACAGGCTACACCCGGTGAGCCACTGCACCCGGCCGATGTACATTGTTTTGTATACACAAAATTTTTTACATACATGACATCATTCTGCACTTTTTGAGGCTGAATTTAGAGCCAAAGTGCCTGGGTTTAAATCCTGCCTGCTAGAGATCTCTTTTTGGGCCAGTGAGAGGCTAAAATTAGATAAGTGGTGACGGCTGCCCAATTCTCTGAGTATGCTGAAAGCTGCTGAATTCTACACTTTAAAAGAGTGACTTCTGGCCAGGCGTGGTGGCACATGCCTGTAATCCCAGCACTTTGGGAGGCCAAGGCAGGTGGATCACGAGGTCAGGAGTTTAAGACCAGCCTGGCCAAGATGGTGGGACCCAGTCGTTACTAAAATAACAAAAATTAGCTGGGCTTGGTGGCATGAATCTGTAATCCCAGCTACTCCGGAGGCTGAAGCAGAGAATTGCTGGAATCCAGGAGGCGGAGGTTGCAGTGGGGCGAGATCACACCATTGCACTTCAGCATGGGTGACAGAGTGAGACTCTGTCTCAAAAAAAAAGTGACTTATGCTATGTAAATTATATCTCAATAAAGCTATTATAAAAATATAGTTAACAATGAAAGCTGAGATGCGAAAAAAATCCTGGATGCACTATGAGTAGCATGGGCTTGGACAAGATATTTAAAAAGCTTTCTTGAGCTGGGCACGGTGCTCATCCCTGTAATCCCAGTACGGGAGTTCAAGTCAGGCGGATCACGAGGCCAAGAGATGGAGACTATCCTGGTCAACAACGTGAAACCCTGTCTCTACTAAAAAAACAAAAATTAACTGGGCATGGTGGTGCAAACCTGTAGTCCCAGCTACACGGGAGGCTGAGAGAGGAGAATTGCTTGAACACAGGAGGTGGAGGTTGCAGTGAGCCAAGATGGTGTCGTGTACTCCAGCCCGGGTGACAGAGCAAGACTCTATCTAAAAAAAAACCAAAAAACTTTCTTTGCCTCCCCGTTCTTATCTATAAAATGAGATAATTATAGCCTCTAGCTATTAATTTTGTTGTGAGAATTGAGTGAGTTAACACTTTGTGTGTATGTGTGTGTGCCCGGTGGAGTTAACACTTTTTAGAAATCCTTTTAGAAACACTTAGAACAGGCTGGGGGAATTAGGCTGACGCAGTGATCAATAAATATTAGCAATTATGACTATTTTTGTTGCCTTATGTTATTTAGGGTTTTTGTTGTGTTGATTTCAATGTTCTTGATGATATATATGAACTAGTTGATTCAGTCTAACTTTTTTTTTGTTTTTCTCCACACATTTACTTTTAAAAAATAATTGTACAAAACAATGATTTCTTCAGGTATATCAGAAATGCTGAGTCCCAGGCCGGGCCCTGCCCCTGCAGGGCAGTGACTCTGCAGCTGGGGGCTTGTCCAGCTGCCCTTTTCAGTGCTTTTCTCCAGGACACAGAGCTTCCGGAAGCACAGCAGTCCCCATGTGTCCCCGTAGGCTGACCTCTGTCCCCAGGCATGGTGTGATGCTTCCCCTGTCTCGAATCCTTCATTGTTCAACCGTAAGCCCAGTGTTTTCATTTTGCATGTTAGGTGTCTGGTCTTGCCTGTCCTACGCTGAACCCAGGTTCCCTGGGGCCATGTAAGACTCAGGCAGCTCTGATGCCCCCGAGTACTTGGAAGAACTCCCAGGAAATCCAAGCCTGCGCCAGGGATCTCTGGCTTTCAAAGTCTTCAAAGGCTGGAGCAGCTGCCCCTGCCACCCGCAAACTCCACAGAGCTCTGACAACCTGCTTTCTTTCCTGAACGCCTCGTTACTGGGTCCTTTCACCCACTGGACCTCACCGTGTGGCCTCAACTTGGAGGCACTTGCCCTCTCAACCCCCAGTTTTACAATAAATGGGGTAGATTCCAAACGTCACTCAGCTCTGACCTCCGACTTTTCTTCCTCACTCCTCTGCCTGCTGAGCTCCTATTCATACTCCAAAGCCTCAGTTAAAAATCCCCCTTCCGGAAGGAAGACTTCTCTGCTTCCTGTCTGGACTTTCCCAGCCGCGGGTCTCTTCTGGTTCCATGATGCTGGAACTGTCTATGGCTCTGCGTCTTCCAGACTGAAGGTTCCTGGAGGACTCCAGTGCTGCCAACAGGCTGGGAAGACAGGTTATTAAACAGTGTCTTGGATGCCACCCTTGGTATTCAAAGCCTCGCAAGGGCAGCGGTCCAGGTAAGTCAGATTCCAGCCTGGCTCTTCCTCTGTCCCTGTGATGTCGGAAAGGCCCCGCCTCACTCTGAGGCTTGGTTTCCCCAACTTCGATGTAGCTGGGGAGATCAGTCCTTGGTCCAGCCACTCCCCACAGTCACGGTGGCTGAAAGCAAGTGTGCAGCGTCGTTCCTCGAGATGTCCCTGTGCTGTTCAGCAAGTCGTGCAGCGCGGCCTCATGGCCTACGAGGGGTGGATTTGGATCCTCCTCGGAGTACAGGGGTGGCGGGCGGTAGAGGAACTCTTGGAAGTAGGCGAAGAACGGGCCTTCCAGGCTCATGTCAGGGTCCTGCGGGAATGGGAAGGGGCTCTGCCCCAAGGCTGCCGCCTCGGTGTCCGCTACCACCTCTGAGTATTCAGGAGGAGCCTCTGGCCACTCCGGCAAGGCGCCCAGCCCCCCGTCCCGCAGGAAGCTGGCGTGGCTGCCCACGCTGGAGGAACGGCTGCCGAAAGGGTGCAAGGGGATGGTGCTGATCACCAGTGACAGCTCCAGCAGTAGCTTGGATGTGCCCGGGATGTCCACGCACACCTCGAGTGCGTAGTCCACGTGGAGAACGCGGCAGTGCAGGATGGAGGACCCACCGGGGGTATCCGCAGCGCCCGGCCCTGCCGCAGCGCCCGCTGTCCCGGACCCACCGGCTCGCCCGGGAGGCTGGCCACCACTGCCTGTTTCTGCTTTCCGGCGCCTAGGGCCATGAACGTCTTCGTCTGCACCACCGCTGCCCGAGGCAGCACAGGACGCGTGGAGCTGTTGTCGATCTCGGCAAAGACGGGGATGACCTCTCCTGGCGTGTAGCCCTTGCAGTCGATCTTGGCTGAAAGGGAGACGAGGCCACAGTTACGGTACCAGGATCGGGCGACATTTTCCTGAGCCCCCGCTTGAGGTGCCAGTAGGGCGGGCGTGTTGATGTCGACAGGCTCGATGACAGTGAACACCTTCCTTGCACTGCTTGCTGGGATCCAGGGCCGGTGCAGGGTAGCCTTGATACAGTAACGGACACTACCGTCCTCGAAGGATGTCACCAGGGTCGGGGGCAGCTGGAAGCTGAACAGGAACTCATGGCACCCAGGAAGCAGGGTCGTGGTCTCCCCCGTGTCTCGGAGCAGCAGCTGCCGCCGCCACAGGTAGGTCTAGGCAGCCGCGTAGTAGCTGGACTCGGCGTTGACGCCCACGCTGCGACCCTCCAGCCAGTAGGTGACCGCTCCGCCGCGCGCCTTCACCTGGAGGGCTCACACCCGAAGCGGCGCCGCCACCTCCAGCAGCACCCGGCCGCATAGTCGCTCCCCGCTGCAGTAGGCGCAGCCCGGGCCCAGCGCCAGCTCCAGCGCGAAGCTGCGCACGCCCCCAGGGCTCATGGCACGCGGCGGGGACAGTGCACCCGGCGGGGGCCACAGCCTGGACGCGCGGCGGGGAGGCGCACGGCCGGGGTGCGCCTGCAGGTCCCCTGGGTCTCCGCGGCCCCCCTTCGCGGCCCCGGGCGCCCCCGGAGTTTCCTCCCGGGCCCCGGGGGAAGTTGGGCCCCAGTCTAACTTTTTTATACTTTTTGTTTTTTTTGGGGGGCCTTGCTCTCTCACGGAGGCTGGAGAGCAGTGGCACAATCTCGGCTCGCTGCAACCTCTTCCTTTCAGATTCAAGCAATTCTTGTGCTTCTGCCTCCCAAGTAGTTTGAGTAGCTGGGATTACAGGCTCCTGCCACCATGGCCAGCTAATTTTTGTGCATTTTTATCTATTTATTTATTTATTTTTTTGAGACGGAGTCTCTCTTTGTCACCCAGGCTGGAGTGCAGGGGCATCACCTCGTCTCACTGCAACCTCTGCCTCCCGGGTTCAAGTGATTCTCCTGCCTCAGTCTCCTGAGTAGCTGGGACTACAAGTGCCAGCCACCATGCCTGGCTAATTTTTGTATTTTAAGTAGAGACAGGGTTTTATCATGTTGGCCTGTATGGTCTCCATCTCTTGACCTCGTGATTTGCCTGCTTCGGCCTCCCAAAATGCTGGGATTACAGGCGTGAACCACCTCGCCTGGCCAATTTTTGTATGTTTTGTAGCGATTGTGTCTCACTGTGTTGCCCAGGCTGGTCTTGAAATCCTAGCCTCAAGCAATGTCCCCAAACTCAGTCTCTGGAAGTGCTGGGATTACAAGTGTGAGCCACCTTACTGACTTAATATTTGTTTTAATACATAATACATTTACCTATTTCCCTAGGTGTGTATTAGTTTTTTTCCATTTTGCTATTATAAACCATGTTGCAATAAACAGGCTTATATGGTATCTATGGACACATATAAGAGTGTTCAAAGGGAACCTAGAGGGGGCTTACTGGGTTACGGGTATGCAACATGTTAACATAAAAAGTTAATAATTGGCCCAGTGTATTGGCTTGTGCCTTAATCCAAGCACTTTGGGACGCCAAGGTGGGCAGATCGCTTGAGTTCTGAAGTTTGAGACCAGCAAGATGGTGAAACCTGTCTTTACCAAAAATACAAAAAATTGGCTGGGCATAGTGGCATATGCCAGTGGTCCCAGCTACCTGGGAAGCTAAAGTGGGAAGATCACCTGAGCTTGGGAAGTTGAGGCTGCAGTGAGCCAAGATGTCGCTACTGCACTCCAGCCTGGGTGACAAAGTGAGACCCCCATCTCAAAAAAAATATTATTTGGCCAGGTGTGGTGGCTCACACCTGTAATTCCCAGCACTTTGGGAGGCCAAGGTGGGTGGATCACCTGAGATCAGGAGTTTGACACCAGCTACTCAGGAGGCTGAGGCAGAAGAATTGTTAGAATCCGGGAGGTGGAGGTTGCAGTGAGCTGAAATTTTGTCATTGCACTCCAGCCTTGGTGACAACAGTAAGACTCCATCCACAAAAAAAATTATTCATAACACTTGTTAAACATGGTAGGGCTGGCCAGGTGCGGTGGCTCATGCCTGTAATCCCAGCCCTTTGGGAGGCCGAGGTGGGTAGATCATAAGTCAGGAGATTGAGGATCACGAGGTCAAGAGATCAAGACCATCCTGGCCAACATGGTGAAACCCCATCTCTACTAAAAAAATACAAAAATTAGCTGGGCGTGGTGGTGCGTGCCTGTAGTCTCAGCTACTCAGGAGGCTGAGGCAGGAGAATTGCTTGAATCCAGGAGGCAGAGGTTGCAGTGAGCTGAGATGGTGCCACTGCACTCCAGCCTGGCGCCTGGCAACAGAGCGAGACTCTGTCTCAAAAAAAAAAAAGAAAGAAAAAAATACAAAAATTGCTGGACGTGGTGGCGGGTGCCTGTAGTCCCAGCTTCTGCGGAGGCTGAGGCAGGAGAATCGCTTGAATCCAGGAGTTGGAAGTTGCAGCAAGCCAAGATTTCGCCACTGTACTCCAGCCTGGGCGACAAAGCGAGACTTCATCTAAAAAAAAAAAAAAAAAAAAAATGGTAGGGCTGACCTTATTCAAGGCAGAAAGTGTTGGTCTGTTCATGTGGCTATAAATAAATACCTGAGGCCAGTCAGGGTGACTCACGCCTGTAATCCCAGCACTTTGGGAGGCTGAAGTGGGTGGATCACCTGAGGTCAGGAGTTTGAGACCATCCTGGCCAACATGGTGAAACCCCATCTCTACTAAAAATACAAAACCTAGCCGGGCATGATGGCACATGCCTGTAATCCCAGCTACTCTGGAGGCTGAGGCAGGAGAATTGCTTGAACCCAGAAGGCAGAGATTGCAGTGAGCCAAGATTGCGCCATTGCACTCCAGCCTGGGCAAATACACATACACATACACACACACACACACACACACACACACACACACACACACCTGAGACTGGGTAACTTATAAAGAAAAGAGATTTATTTGGTTCATAGTTCTGCAGGCTGTACAAAAACATGGTGCCAGCATCTGCTTCTGGTGAGACCTCAGGAAGCTTCCACTCACGGCTGGAGGCAAAGTTGAAGCAGGTGTGTTACATGAACAGAGAGGAAGCAAGAAAGAGGGAAGGGAGGCACCTGACTCCTTTTTATTTTATTTTTTAAATTTTATTTGTTTATTTATTTTGAGACGGATCTCCCTCTGTCACCCAGGCTGGAATGCAGTGGCATGATCTAGGCTCACTGCAACCCCGCCCCCTCCCAGTTTCAAGCAATTCTCCTGCCTTGTACTCTCGAGTAGCTGGGATTACGGGCAGGTGCCACTACACCCAGCTAATTTTTTTGTAATTTTTTTTTTCCTTGAGACAGAGTCTTGCTCTGTTGTCAGGCTGGAGTGCAGTGGCTCGATCTCCACTCACTGCAACTTCCGCCTCTTGCATTCAAGAGATTCTCCTGCCTCATCCTCCCAAGTAGCTGGGACTAAAGGTGCCCGCCACCATACCCAGCTAATTTTTTTAATTTTAGTAGACACAGTGTTTTACCATGTTAGCCAAGATGATCTCAATCTCCTGACCTTGTGATCTGCCTGCCTTGGCCTCCCAAAGTGCTGGGATTACAGGTGTGAGCCACTACATCTGGCCAATTTTTGCAATTTTAGTTGAGATGGGGTTTCACCACATTGGCTAGGCTGGTATTGAACTCCTGACCTCAGGTGATCCACCTGCCTTGGCCTCCCAAAGTGCTTGGATTACAGGTGTGAGCCAGGTGCCCAGCCTGTTTTATTTTTTGAGACAGGATCTCCCTCTGTTGCCCAGGCTGAAGTGCAGTGGCACACATCTCTGCTCACTGCAACCTCTGCCTCCTAGGTTCAAGTGATTCTCCTGCCTCAGCCTCCTGATTAGCTTGGTCTATAGGCGCTCACCCCGACATCCTGCTAATTTTTGTATTTTTAGTAGGGATTGGGTTTCGCTATATTGGCCAGCCTGGTCTCAAACGCCTGGCTTCAAATGATCTGCCCGCTTCAGCCTCTCAAAGTGATGAGACTACAGGCGTGAGCCACCATGCCTGGCCTTAGACTCCTTTTTAAACAACCAGATCTGACATGAACTCATAGAGTGAGAACTCACTCATCACCAAGAGGATGGCGCTAAGCCATTCATGAGGGATCCGCCCACATGTCCAGCACCTCCTGCTAGTCCCCACCTCCAACATTGAGGCTCACATTTCTTTTCTTTTTTTTTTGTTGAAGCATGCAGGTGTTAGGTATTCACTTGTTTGCAAAGTCCACTTCCCAGTGGGCTTCTCAACTGGAAACAAAGGTATCTCTGAGTTCACATTTCAACATGAGACTCAGAGGGGACACACAGCCAAGCTGTACCAGAGGGACACTACGATGGCATTTTGTAGTTAGGGAGGAGATCAGATTCAACTCCAAATACAACAGGAAAAGTGAGAATCTGTAGCCAAGAATAAGATTGTATGTGTTGGCAGGGGGTGGTCAGTGCATGGAAAATCACCACAAAGCGATAGTAGGGGTAAGGGGAGGAGGATCCCAACCAGTTATAGAGGATGATCAGATATTGAGAATGAGGGATTCAGGCTAAAGTGACTTTGCTAGGATTCTTTTGAAAATTGGACAATACAAAGATGAGTGTGTGAACTCCAAAATCAGGGCCTAACTGAGAAATCAGGGTGGGGCCTGACTAGAGAGAAGTCAAGGAGAGAATCTTCATCAACCATTTGACTTTATTCAACATTGCTAAACTGCTCATTACCAAGGTAGGATAGTTTCTCTATTTTTGTATCCTCACCAACACTTGGCATGAGAAAGTTTAAATTTGCAAATATAATTTGAAACAGTATTTCATTGTTTAACTTGCATTTACTTGTAGCTAATGAACCTTGTGCAGATTTTCTCTCTTAGTGGTCATATGGGGTTCCTCTTTGGTTAACTGTATGTTTACTACTGTAAGCTGAAATGTGGTATTGTATTGCTTAAAAACAATTGGCCGGGCACGGTGGCTCATGCCTGTAATCTCAGCATTTTGGGAGGCTGAGGTGGGTGGATCATGAGGTCAGGAGTTTGAGATCTGCCTCGCTAATATGGTGAAACCTGTCTCTACTAAAAATACAAAAATTAGCCGGGTGTAAGCTGGGGGCGGTGGCTCATGCCTGTAATCCTAGCACTTCGGGAGGCTGAGGCCAGCAGATCACAAGGTCAGGAGTTCAAGACCAGCCTGGCCAAAATGGTGAAACCCTGTCTGTACTAAAAATACAAAAATTAGCTGGGTGTGGTGGTGTGCCCCTGTAATCCCAGCTCCTCAGGAAGCCGGGGCAGGAGAATTGCTTGAACTGGAACCTGGGAGGTGGAGGTTGCAATGAGCTGAGATTGCACCACTGCACTCCAGCCTGGGATATAGAGTGAGACTCCCTTTAAAAAAAAAAAAAATTGGCCGGGCGCGGTGGCTCATGCCTATAATCCCAGCACTTTGGGAGGCCAAGGCGAG